TCCCCTCCCACTACCTCTATCGCATATAACATAACAAGCCAGCATGCAAACATATCATCACATATTGTCAGACGTATCTGGGGTGTCTGGCTACCCTTCGGTCCTATCAACCGAACTTTACTACTATCACATACCACATTATTTTAACATATAACATATCAGGTAATAACAAACCTAGATGATATCACAAAGACAATCATCTATCATACGTCTCCAATTGGTGGGCTGGCATTGTGGCCTTAGACCCACCGCTACTGGAAGCTAACTCACCTTGAGAGTAGCTGCTGAAAACCTGCTCAACCTACGCCTGGCTGCCGCATCGGTAATCCCTCCGGCTATAAATCCGTAAACATGGATTAGGTACTCATAAATACCCCTTAGGTCAAATGACTGGTTAAAGTCAACTTCTTGGTCCAAGTCTACTCTCTGATTGACTGGACTCGCCGAGTCCATATAGCGACTCACTGAGTCCTTCTACGTCTAGTCCGACTCTGACTCATCAACTCCCTGTTCCTACTCACTGAGTCAGCCTGACTCATTACTTGGGACGATTGGTCCGACTCATGACCCGACTCGCCGAATTTGAAGAAAAACTCGCCAAGTTCCAGGTAATCTTCATAGGACTCGCCGAGTCTAAGGCCATCTTCATGGAACTCGCCGAGTTGTTCGATCAACTCGCCGAGTTCCTTCAAACCTTCTTCCTGTACAGGCCAAATTTGAGACATTCAATGGATCTAACTCGTGGGTCTCAGTTCCTAGGGTCTGGTTATCACATATACACACAAAATCTGGGGGTTTTAAGGCTTGAAGACCACCCATTGGGGACAAAAAGGAACCTAAGAAGCTAACGAACAAAGTAGGGAGTTTTATTACCTGATTTGATGCCTTCTACAGAGTAGATTTCGGATCTACCTTCACTTCTAGAATACTCCAACTTCTTCCTTCTTCCTTAAGCTCCAAAACCTTCTTTGGAAGATCAAAATCACTCAAGAACACTAAAGGGGGCTAGTGTTGTTCTCTACTGCTCTCTGGGAGTAAATGGGACGAAATGGGTGTTTTGCATGGGCAAAATTAGGGTGCAACGTCTTAAGGTAAAGTTTCATTCAGAAAGGTGACCTCGCCGAGTCCATATATCCACTCGCCGAGTTCCCAACTTAAGTCCCGTGTCCAGCTCGCTGCTACTCAGCTCGTCGAGACGCATACTCGCCGAGTTCACGGAAAAAGTTGAGAAAAAAAGTATCTAAATAAAATCATACTAGGAACGGGGCGTTACACTTGAAATCTTGAACTATAAGAGCTTAGCCCCAATAGTTTGGAAGCCTCAAGTGGAATCACAAATCACCAAAAACACCTTGGAAAACTTGAGAGAATATAATGCATACTAAAAATCGGCCCACTCTTGTTTTCTCACACATTAGTGCCATTCATGTGCCAAATACCTCTTTATATATTATGGAGGATTAGGGTTACATTCATGTAAACCCTAATACCCATGACCTTTCATTTATATAGGATCCATGGGTTAAAAGCTCCATGGACTCTCCATGCAAGCTTAGCCCAACCTAAATGAACTTGGCCCATTCTATATATAAGTGTCCATATTTTATTAGTTCCTTTTGATCACTAGATTAATTCTAAATTAACTCTTGATCAATACTAATTAAATAATATGATTCCATATTAATATATTAGAACTTATAATATATTATTTTAAATCATAAACATACTATTCTCAAAACACTATCCATATAAATTGTTCTGGTGAAGTACAACCCAAATGGACCATGCTAAATCGTATCAAGTACATACCAATTATAGTTATGGGCTTAGATACTAATCCAACAAATTACATGAGAAAAAATTTCCTAGCAAAAAATGCTAGTTGTGACAAGTCTCAACTTGACCAAGCATTTGTTGTCAACACCAAATCAACGAGGGGTGCACATATATCTACTTCTCCATTTATGTCATAAGGATCAAATAAACTTTGATTACATAGGTTAGTACTATTCCTCATGCAATATCTAGTCAAAGCCTATATGGCTACCTATTACGGAGAATGTTGGGGAAAGATTAAGGTATAACAGATTGTAGAACCAAACCTCGTGCATCTCCAATTGAAGAATAACAAATTCAGTCGTCTTAATTTTCTCATGACATGATCCATGGAGTAATCTTTAAGCATGATTACTCTAATACTTAAAATCTCCATTTTCATGTACTCCTCGGTATTAGTCACAGGGCTTTTCTATGTTCATCCCTATGAACAATCTACCAATACTATGACAATCTTAATTCACAACTACCTTCCAAAAGTAAGACTGATTGTGGAAGTTTGAATAATATTTTGGAAGTGGTTCTAAACATGAAAAAATAGGAACATAGATAATATGAACAAACATAGTAAATCTAATTCCGATAAAACTAGTATGAGCATCATGCCTGATCTGTGACAATGGTTTAGTGAGAAGATCGGTTGAATTATCTTCAGATGGTACTCTGCTCACAATGATACGTCTGACCTTGTACATATCATATAGTACATGATCAATCCTATATAAAAGGCATATGAGACTCAACTCATAAGATCCAATTCTTTAGTAGTATTGGGACATTGAGTTTTACTCAAAACTGTGCCACGTTGCATATGTAACAATCCCTTCTTAGATTCTTCCATCTTGAATGTCTTCAAGATTTTATCTAAGTATCTATTTTGGAAAACTTCTATTAGTCGCTTAGATCTATCCTTATAGATCTTGACAACAAGTATGTAGGCAACTTCTCACAAGTCTTTCATAGCGAATCTTTTCCCAAGCCATGCTTTTACACTACTCATTTTTGGGATGTGATTTCCTCTTAGAAGAATATCATCGACATATAAGACAAGGAATATAACTATCCTCCCACTAGATCTAACATACGCACCCTGTTCATCTTCATTTCTTAAGAAACCAAACACCTTGATCTTCTCATCGAAATAGATGTTCCACCTGTGAGGTGCTTGTTTGAGTCCATAGATTGACTTTTCAAGCTTACATATCATATTGGGAGACTTGGACTATACAAAACCTTCTAGCCAAGTCATATAAACATCCTCAATCATTTTCCCATTAAGGAAAAGCAATTTTTGCATTCATTTTCCATATTTCATAGTCATGAAATGCAACTATGTAAAGTAGTATCCCAATAGAGTTACTCATAGCTATTGGTAAGAAATTTTCATCATAATCAATTCCTGAGTCCGATTATAACCTTTCACAACCATTAAAGCTTTATAAGTTTGTACATTCACATCCATGTCATTCTTCTTCTTGAAGAACCATCTACACCCAATAATTTTAAGACCAGATGTAGTATTATGGAGGTTCAATAATTGGTTATTATACATAAACTGAATCTTGTCGTCCATCGATTTTTTCCATTTTGCAGCGTCTGGGCTTGTCATGGATTCTTAATAGTTGTGTGCCTTATTATATCCTAATAGGTTTTCATCCTCTTGAGTAACATGTAATCCATAGAACTTTGGTGGACGAAGGTCTCTATCAGTTCTATGATGTGGTAGTGGAAGTATATCAAATTCCTTAACAGGTTGTTCAACCTCTTGTTGTGGTTTAGTGTCAACTTCAAGTTCTTCATTGGCTGACTCTTGAATCTCATCAAGATCAATTAGGTTCCTAATAGTTTCTTGAGATATCAGCTCCCTTTCACGAAAGAATGCCCTATGAGCAACAAAGATCTTGTTCTCAACATGCTTGTAAAACAAGTAGCCAAAAGAATCTTTAGGATAACCAGTGAAGTAACACATTTATGATATGGGTTCAAGTTTGTCGAGTGCTAATCTATGAACAAAAGCCTCACAATCTCAAACCTTGATTCGTGCTAGAGAGGGACGATTCCCTTTCCACATTTTGAATTGTGTTTTCCCAACCTTCTTAGCTGGTACAAGGCTTAGAATATAAGTGGTCATTCCTGGGTGTAACACCCTCGATCTCTGACAGCTAATTTATAAGAATTATCAAATTTTATTTACAAATGCAAAAAATATACTTATAATTTTAAAAAAATTTACATCCCAGATTGAATTGATTAAAAAATACACAATATAAATTTATCTATTTATATAAAAAGAAGAATACAACAATAGCATCCTATTATTTAAATTTTGATCTTGTGCTCGTTTCTTCTCTTCCGGTACCATGGCTTCTAATACATGAACCTGCAAACATAAATTTCTATTAAATCGGACACTAAGTCTAGTGAGTTATTCTACTATCTTTTATTACTTTCTTTCTCATAATTCATACTCGTCCTCATAGTGTAACGTCGCGATTTTCAACGGCAAATTTTTTATTTTATTTATTTAAAATGTAGGTCTTACACATTATATTACAAATATATTTAAATATAAAAGAGTGTTTTAGTATAAGACTTTAAAACATTATTGATGCCTTGCGGATCCAATCATGTGTGAGCCTTTTCTCGATCTTAAGAACAACATAAAAAGGCAAATATTTAACACTTTTAAGCTTGATGCTTAGTGGATTCTCTCAAGATACAAACAAATATCAATAATATTCAATATAGGTCTTATTTTATATGTATAGACGATATATTTCTTTTTATGATGTAATTTCATTTTTACTTTTATATTTTTGATCAATTAAACTACTATTTTTTGATCAATTAAACTACTATCTTAAGTTGCATAGGAGAAAAATATTTAAAAATTAAAATAAGTATGTAATGTATATTGTATATGCAAAAGATAGGGGTATAGCGCTTAAAACATGAATTCAAATATATAAAATAAAATTAAGAAAAAAAGTCAAGCAATTAAAATAGATTTAATTCCTTATTAGTTTCTAGATATTTTATTAAGTTATTAATAATATAGTTTTTGTTATAGTATTTTTAAAACAATTTATTTGATCCGTACACACCAAAAACACATAAAACCTCATAAACCCTAAAATCCACAATCTTTTGCATCAAGAAAAATAATGGGAAAACGAGGAAGAGATCCTCCTCCAAACGATTCAATCTTCAATCAAGATCCCGAGTTCTTTGAAATCTTCCTCCCAAATCGTATATCACGCCAACTGGTACTCTCTCTTCTCGAACGCCTTCATATTCAAAAACTTCTGTAATCAACATTCATGATGCAGCGAACATGAAACGCCACAAACTTTTATTCCATTGATATCCATCGGTTTAGATTCACTTCATTTGACGAACTTTTATTTCTTTAATCAGTAGAAAGATAACTCTGATCATTATGTTTGTCTTTCCGAAGTGAAATTTGTGGCAACTTTAACTCAAAATTTCTCGAAATCTCGACTTATTTTTCTTGGTTAATGAATTTGATGTTTAATGTTTGAATCTGCAGCGAATACCACCAGATTTTATCAAGCATTTTGATCAAAAGATACCAGAGAAGATTGTTCTTAAAGATGTTTTAGGAAGAGTTTGGCATGTGGATGTGAATCGAGAGAAAACTGGTGTTTTTTTGAAGAATGGTTGGAATAGATTTGTTAAGGAAAAGAGCCTAGAGCTTGGCCAATTTATGGTGTTCAGATACAACAGAAGATCATCATCATTCACTGTTCGACTTTTTGGTAAGAATGCATGCATGGATGAAGATCAAGAATCTAGAAAACCCTTGATCAATAGTGTGAAAGATGAACAAGAATCTGATTTGGAATCAACCCCGATGCCTAAAACTAAAAGAAAGTACTGCAGAAAATCACCAAATTTTGCCTAAGAGGTTTCCTGAAAATTTTGCGACGATAATGAGTTCAATTTTTCATTCTTTCACCTTTTCTTTATGAAAAAGGCTTTAATATTGTTGGTATTTTAGTTTAGTATTCTTTTTGATATGTTCCAAACAAGCAATTGTAAAGATTTAGAGAAAAAAAAAAAGTAGTAGTTCGAAGATAAAAGATGATTTCCTATATTCAAGATTCTTTATGATGATTGATCAATGATCAATTATGTGTTTGTATTTTTTACGATTTATAAATTTGATATCGGATGCATGCAAACTTATGTTTAAATAATTTATATACGTCCATGGATTTTAGGAATTTGAATGTGGTTGTGAATTATTTTAGGACATAAAAAGAAAATCACTTTCAACTGTAATGTTCCATTGGCAAGCTGCAGATCACACTGGTTCCAAAACTTAGATTCACTAAAACCACCATCAAGGAATGAAGATCCGCTGCCATTGAAAACAAAAACACAATTTGTAAGGGCCTTAAAGATAGAATTAACAGCCTGAAACTTGAACAAAATTGACTGGAAAAAAAAAAAAAACAAAACAAAACAAATGGGTTGTGGAGGGAAATGAAAACTTATGTTTTTTCCATGGACTCGTTAAAACATGAGTTGTGGAAGAATAATAGGCTAACAATCGATAATAATCAAGGAGGTAGTTTGGAGATTCTTATCAAAATCTTAAAAATCCACATAATTTTATCTCCCAATGATGCCTCTTTCCTTGATCCTCCTTTCATAGTTATTGAGGTTAAGGAAGCGATTTGGGTTTTGCAAAAAGGCTCCCGGGCCTAAAAACTTCACTTTTTTAAAATCATAAAAAATTGTTGGCACCTACTTGAAGGAGATTTTGTGAAATTTATCAAGGAATTTGAGACTTGAGAAAACAATAGTGGAGGCTATAACTTATCTTTCATATTCTTAATGGTAAAGGTGAAGGATCCTTTATCTGTTAACGAATACCGGTTCATTAGCCTCATCGGTTGCCTTTATAAAAGCTCTTAGTCAATAGACTCAAGTTGCTTAGTAGTTTAGTGGTCAGTAAGGTCCACAACAAAAAAACTAACTTTTAGCGGCGACAAAAATCGTCGCAATTGATCACACTTGTCGTCGCTAAAGTTATTAGAGACGACATGTCGTCACTAAGCGTCGCCGCAATTGCTTCGTAGCTAATAGCCGATTGTCGTCTCTAATACCGACGTCTCTAATATCTGTCATCCCTAATACACTATTGGCATCGCAAATAACGTCGTCTTTATTAATATTCCGGCAACCGGCCGGAGTTTTTTCGGCAAACCTCCCCAGAGGTATGAGTCGTCGCAATTGATCACAGTCGTCCCTAAAGGCGTCGTTGTTAACGTTTTTTTTTAGTTTTTTTTTTTAATTTTTAATTTTTGAGAAAAAACATATTTTTTATAATATTAATTTATATATATTATAAAATGCAGTTTTGATAAAAATACATAAATAAATACATACCACATTATATAAAAACATCAAACATACCATATTCCATAAAATATCTAATAAATCTCAAACAAACATCTAATATATATCATACATAAACTATTTTCAAAATCTAAAATAACATCCTCCATATCATAAAACAAGAAATATCATGTGTCTTCGTCTTCCCCAATGTTGTTTTCCTCGTTGACTTGGTTTTTAAACGAGCGAATAATATCTCTAATGGTCGTCACAAATGTCGGGTTTTGAAGAAAAACATTCACATCAACATCCTACAATTAAGTCACAAGCACATTAAGTCATTAACAATTCAACAAACTATCAAAACATCAAAGCACCAAATCAATTAAGTCTTTAACAATTTAACAAACTACCGAGCTACCAAAAATTACTACCAATACATTAAGTTCTTAACAATATAATAAAGCTACCAAATTCTTTAAGAATTTAACAAGTACATGTGTTGGTTGCGGTGCTTGTGACTGTGACTATCATTAGGATGAAGAACTTGTACCCGAAGCTAAATAAGGTTAGGCCCAATGCCTCTCACATGCCTCCTTCGTGTACCCAACACCTTCTCAAATATTGTGATCCAGTCAATGATGTCTGGATCACCACCAGAGTCGGCGATCTAAAAACAATTGAAGGGTCACGATCAAATTCACCCGGATCACTATCAATAGCGGCGACCGGTCGTCGCAGTTGGTGTCGCCGCTATTACTTTCCACCAGATGAAACCCTAACCGGTGGATCACTATAGCAGCCAACGGTCACGATTAAATGGCGTGTGGCCGGAGAGGATCGATGGTGGAACTCCTTTAGCGACGACATATTTAGCGACATCAGAGCCCTTAAGCGACGACATTATCTCATGTTACCGCTAAAGCCTATCGTCGTCTCTAAAGATGCCATCCCTGAAGGTCCTATTTCTTGTTGTGGTCCATTGCCTTTCATTGTTGGTCGGAATATCATTAATGGTGCCCTTCGGGTGTTACTATATGTATCCCTCACTCACATAAAAGTTCAAACCCACACACACTCATCCACTCACACAGGAGGTACACCAAGCAATTTGGGGAGAGGATATATATATATATATATATATATATATATATATATATATATATATATATATATATATATATATATAGATATAGATATTGTTAGGTGCATTTCATGTACCCATTTTGTAGCTTTATTTTATAAAAGTACATTGCATATAGGCTTAAACTCATGCATTTTGCATGTTTTTCTGGATTTTTCATGAGGTAATTTCATTCACATACTTTTGTGATATTTCAGGGACTTTTGGAGGTAAGATATTGTTAGAGGAGGTAAATAAGAGTTGCGGACAAAATTCCGGGACTTTCGAAGCACCGAGGAGCAAGATATCAAAGAAATGAACATTTTGGCTTTATAGAGATTTACACGGCCGTGTAAATGCAAGCCTTGCGTTTACGCGGGCCGCGTAAACGTAGATTTCTGTGGAGTATATTTTTGCGTTTACGCGGGCCGTGTAAATGACAATGTTAATTTATGCGGGCCGTGTAGACATAAACGTGGGTTTAAAAGCAGTTTTTCACCATTCTTAAAGGGGGGGAATCGACTTTTTACTTTGGGGGGTCGACTTTTGGAGTAGAAAAGGCGAATTTATTGAGGATTTTGAAGTTGATTAACACTTGGGAACATTTGATTTCATTTTGTAAGAACTTTAATTTCATTTTCTAGATTTGTGATCTTGTTCTAGTCATGAGTGGCTAGAACCCTAGTTTCTCCAACTTCATGTCTTGACTTTTTAGTTGTGATTTCAATCATGTGATTTGATGTTTTCTTCTAATTCCTACCTAGTGAATTTGATTTTGTTTCAATTTAATGTTTGATTCTAATTGTGATTCTTATTGGCCATTTGAATTAGGGTTCGGTCATTCAAGTTATCAAATTGCAAAATCCGTAATTGTTTTGTGAATTGAACTAAGTAACAAACACTAAATTGATTTCCATTGAATGAATTTAGTGTAAATCTTATTCACATACTCTTACACTCCCAAGCTTGTGAGGAGTATTGGGTGTTGTTGGGAACATTCACATAAATCTTATTGCAACCTTTTGATTTCTATCTAAGAGCTTGTTTAGACATAAATTAGAAGGTTAGGTTATTTTCAAAGAGCTTGTTTTGAATTTGACAACTTGGTGAATGGGAAGTGTTAGAACGTGTTAACACTTTCAAGTACCAACTTAGGTGGAATTGAGTAGATATCATTTCATTCTTGGAATCACATTGTTAAATTATCTTGCATAGAGTTGGAGTTCTCACAAATCCTGAATTTGTTTCATTTAATTGATCATTTACTTATTGCTTTATCGTCTTGTTTAAATCATTGCATACCAATCCCCCATTTATGTGACCATTATTGTACCTTCCGCAAAAAGGTATAAACATTTGTTTCGTGTCTCTGTGGATCGACCCTACTTACCTTGTATTACATTTCTAGTACGAAGTAGTAGTGTTTAAGGAGTTATTTTACACCTTTATTTGTTGGGTTTGACACGCTCAACAAATTGGCGTCTTTGTCGGGGACACGGTGTTACTAATTGTTTATGCCAAGCATTTTGTGAGCAGGTCCTTTCAAAGAAAAAGTCAGGTAGAACATAAGTTTTCAATTGAAGGAAGTGGCGAGAAGGTTAATATGTTGTAAAGGCCCACCTACTTAAAACAAAGCACATTGAGGGGCCAAGTCGAGCCAACGACTTAAAACAAGGGCAGCTAACCGGAAGGCAACCCGGGGTTATTTTTGTCCTTTCTTTTAAAACTTTTTAGTCTTTGGTAAATTTTAATTTTTTTTATGCCCCAAATGGTTTTAACTTATTTTTTATGCCTAGAAAATGAATCACTGGCTCCAACAATACTTCACGGATAGCTTGGGGAGGATGAAGAGGAGGTTTACACCATAATTGCGAGGCTTCAAGAACGATTAGGTAAATTCTTTCCATATCTTTAATCGTTCATATTTTACTTAAAATTCAATTGGTGTGCATTTGTGACTGTTTTGGACCCATTCCCAACCCAGCTACCATCTTCCACCATCCGACTCTCAATAGGCCGGCTATGCCTCTCTCCAAACATCGAGGACGATGTTATATTTTATGCTTGGGGAGGGGCATTCATCCATGCATAAATCCTGTTGTGTGTAGGTTGCATGTAGTTTTGTACATATCTCATTAATTTTCATTTCATTTTCTTTTTCATTTTTTTCTACATGGAAAATTTTTCAAAAACCAAAAAGATTTTCTTTCTATTCTAATTTTTATTATTTTCTTTGCATCTAAATTTTTGCATTGCATTCATTGCATAATTAAAAAAAACGATCCAATCCCAAGCAACTGAATCTTTTCTAAACAGTTGAGCTGGTAAATGAGTCATGTGCCTTGAAATTGGCTTGCTCTTTTTATTGAAAAATCTAAAAGCAAGTTAATCACACACGAACACACCTCGCGAAGCTACTTGTGCAAAACAAAAAATGAGAAGATTGACAACATTGGAGCATAACAACATGTATGAGTCGATTCTTTGGGACATATGGTCGGTCTTATGAGCAGTAATGCTCAATTGAACTTAAAATGCCAAATTCAAAAGTACATAAAAAGAATGCAAAATCTCAATGTCCCGCCTTCCAGCGCTCTTAAAAGTCCTTTCTACTCATTCCCTTTTATATACCCTGCTTGAGGACATAGCTTTCAACTATACTTACGAGTCTTTGCATGTTAACATTTAGTCCCCCGAAAAATGTCTAGAAGTCCCTCACGGTAATAAACCGTGAGATGTCCCACAATAGAAAAGTCAAGGACGAAAATATAAAGAAATTGGCCAAATAAATAAATTAATAAGAGTGTTATGTGTTAACTTAGTTATTTGTATATATGTTACATAAAATAAAATTAAAAAAAAAACTGTAAAAAAAAAAAGTATTATTAAGTTAATCTGTGACCTTTGGGATTCGAACAAGTAAACTTTGAGGGGTGTTTTACACCTAATCGCCTAAAGCTAAATTGTTTGGGACTGATTGAGTTGAAAATTCGTTACACGGGTTCCATAGAAAGTCATGAACTTAATAATAGCAAATAAAGCTAATATGTGACCTTTGAGATTCGGGCAAGTAAACCCGAGGGATCCTTTTAAATCTAGCACACTAAGGTCATTTGATCTGGATGTGTTAGTTGGAAGCCCGTTACACGGATTTCAAAGAAAGTCATGAGCTTTATTTGTAAAAAAAATGTAATTAGGAAGTCTGTATATAGTTGTGTTTATAGTTTAATTAAATATTATGTTTAGGAAAAATATTTGGCTGCCAACAGATTCCCTTGGACTTAGATTTGAACTTATGACATTGGGACTGAATGTTAATTACTTTGACTGGAGTAAGTGGTTTGAATCTTGTAACCAATTTGGGTAAATATTAGGGAATTTTTAGAAAAAGATTGTTGTTGATCAACAAGTAGTTGGGTTCGATCATTGTTATATTTTATGAAACAAAGATGATTGAGCATGTTTTGTCACATACAATTTCACGAGATTAAGACCATAATTTGTTCTATTAATTGACTTGCTAATATTGAGAGGGAACAAGCGTGGTATCTTTGATTCTGTTGAGTTGTATTGGGGAGTGACTAAGGTCTTATTTCTATTGTTATATAATATTTTGAGACTAAAGCCAAGTTGACTCAAGGCACGATAGGTATATTCTCAACTATAGTACAAAACAGGGTTAATTGGGTAGGATATATTTTTTCATGTTTGTTTTGATTTCTTGCATCAAGTTTCAAAAAAAAAAGTTTAACCTTGATTTTCTTTTCTTTTCTTTTATTTTATTTTCTCCAGTTTAAATCTTCTTGTTCTTTCTTGAGGACAAGAAAGGTTTAAGTTTGGGGAGATTTTTTAAGTGCGTTTCATGTACCCATTTTGTAGCTTTATTTTATAAAAGTACATTGCATATAGGCTTAAACTCATGCATTTTGCATGTTTTTCGGGATTTTTCATGAGGCAATTTCATTCACATACTTCTGTGATATTTCAGGGACTTTTAGAGGTAGGATATTGTTAGAGGAGGTAAATAAGAGTTGCGGACAAAATTCCGGGACTTTCGAAGCACCGAGGAGCAAGATATCAAAGAAATGAACATTTTGGCTTTATAGAGATTTACACGGCCGTGTAAATGCAAGCCTTGCGTTTACGCGGGCCACATAAACGTAGATTTCTGCGCAGTATATTTTTGCGTTTACGCGGGCCGTGTAAATGACAATGTTAATTTATGCGGGCCGTGTAGACGTAAACGTGGGTTTAAAAGCAGTTTTTCACCATTCTTAAAGGGGGAATCGACTTTTTACTTTGGGGGTCGACTTTTGGAGTAGAAAAGGAGAATTTATTGAGGATTTTGAAGTTGATTAACACTTGGGAACATTTGATTTCATTTTGTAAGAACTTTAATTTCATTTTCTAGATTTGTGATCTTGTTCTAGTCATGAGTGGCTAGAACCCTAGTTTCTCCAACTTCATGTCTTGACTTTTTAGTTGTGATTTCAATCATGTGATTTGATGTTTGCTTCTAATTCCTACCTAGTGAATTTGATTTTGTTTCAATTTAATGTTTGATTCTAATTGTGATTCTTATTGGCCATTTGAATTAGGGTTCGGTCATTCAAGTTATCAAATTGCAAAATTCGTAATTGTTTTGTGAATTGAACTAAGTAACAAACACTAAATTGATTTCCATTGAATGAATTTAGTGTAAATCTTATTCACATACTCTTACACTCCCAAGCTTGTGAGGAGTATTGGGTGTTGTTGG